ATATATATATATATATATATGAAAGGAGAAATAAGTTGTGTACTATGGTATAGCAGGGTAAATAGTGTTAACAATAATGCAATGTATGTATCAAAATGTAAGATAAGATTTTGAATATACTCACCATAAATAATAAAAGATTAAAATGATGAATATACTAGTTACCAGATAGTTGATCATTCCCCACATATATATGAATCAGACATCATATCATACTTCATAAATATGTGGAAATATTATGTCAATGAAAATAAAAGTAAAACCAAAACTTAGCTACTAAGATGCAGATCACAGAACGCAAGATCAAAAAAGTCAAGAACATAGGTTAGGTTAAGAGAGAACATAGGTTAAATACAGAATGTTTAAATAACGTATCATTAGAATTTTCAGGTCAAATACTTGAAATAATAGTTTTTCAATAATCCCTAAATCAGAGGTGAAATAAATTATGTAAAAGTGAATTTAAAAGGATACTTTATAAGATACACTTAAGATTTAAAAATTTGTTCCCTGCCCTTGGGCTTGAGCCTGCCAATGAACTTCCATTTTTGACTGCTGGACCTACACACTTCAGACTGACATTGCCAGCCTTTGCAATCACATAGGCTAATTTCTTAGTAGTTAAACATTTCATACTGGTTATGCTTCTTGACAGAAGCATGACTGAGGCAAAGAGTTACAACTAGACTCTATATTCTTTACCTGAAGTCTTAAGATAAAATAGATTTATAAAAAAGAAAGTTGCAGATCAGTATGCAGAATTTTGTAAATGAATGTGTATATATGTTTATATAAGCATGGGGTAAGTGCGGAGTTATGCCAAACTGTTAGTACTCATTATTTCACAGAGGAATAGGAGTGACAAAGATGGGGAAAGAATGCTAAATGTTCTTTATATATTTCTATATGGATTTAAATTGTTATGTTGGTCATGTACTAATTTTATAATTAAAAAGTAAAAATTAAAAATAAAATTATGGTAAATCGATTAACAGCCATAAAATGATTAAATATTAAATTGGTGAAAATATTAATGATACAATATTTAGTAAAAATGAGAATACAGAATTATATCTGTGCACCACAGAGAAACATGTTGATAAAGAAACAGTAGATTTAGTTGTTTTTTAAAAAAATTTAAGGCCAGGGATTTAGCTCAGTGGTTCCTCCGCCTGCCTCACAAGTGCAAGGTCCCAAGTTTGATTCCTGGTACCAACAAAAACAAAACAAAACAAAACAAAAATTTAAACACAGAAAACAAAGACTAGAAAGAAATATATCAAAATGTTTACAAAAGCTTACTGTATTGTTTGATCTTTACCTTTTTTTCTTATATTTTTCTGTTTCTCATTCTCCCAAGAATTCTACAATGTAACTGATTGATTAATCATATAATCAGACTGGAAAAAAAAACCTCACAAAACCATATTCTACAAAGATGAGTACAGGCCTGTCAGAAGATAATTTCTGTAAGTTTTTCTATTAGAAGCAGATTTTTTATTACACTTTATTGGGAGACATGGTGTTGGAGCCAGAAAGAATTGCAGAGGGGAAAGAAAGAATTGCAGGGCCCTTCTAATTGATTCAGTGTCTGCACTCACAGACCATTCTTTAATTTTTTTTTTTTTTTTGGTTTTTTTGAGACAGGGTCTCACTATGTAGTTGAGACTGACCTGGAACTCACTATGTAGCCCAGGCTGGTCTTGAACTCACAGCAATCCTCCTGCCTCAGCCTCCCGAGTGCTGGGATTACAGGTGTGCACCACCACGCCCGGCCATTCCTTTAATATAACAACCTAGACTAGGTCAGTTGCTGCTAATGTCTATCATCGGAAGAAATGGCTAGCAACATTTCTATACCACTTCCCACCGTGTCTTAAAGCAGTATTCATATGCTAAAAGCAATCTGACTAATAATGAGACTCAAAGGAGTTATCAATGTACACTGTGGAGAAGACTAGGATCAATGTGTTTTTCTGGAATGCTTTTTGGACCATTTCAATCCCCAACATGTACCGATAGGAGAATACTTTTACATAAGAAGTCAATGGCCAGGCCTATTTTTGTAGAGGCAGTTTGGACCAACCTGTGCATACTAGCATTTTAAGGTACAACTCCATACTTGTCAGGTGAAGGCAAAGACAGAAACTGCATAACTTCTCAGGAAACCAGGAAGGTTGATTGTTTGGTATTTTTTGTGACAGAAATGGGACTCTGAACAGGAGATGTGCTTTATAAACAAAGCTACAGCTGATGGGAACTAAATCTTACAGTGTAGAAGCAGCATAAAAAATACTTCTAGCTATATCCCCCAGTAAAAGGTAAATATTCTGTTCCAATCCAGAATGTATGTTTTATTGTCAATGTAAATCATACACATGTTCATGGTTTTAGACACTGTTATATTTTCTATAATTTACTTTAAAATAGTTCTACACAATATGTGCATATCATTTTAATATATACTCTAGGGATATTAAGATAATATCTGCAGTATGCTAATCAGGTATATATATATACTCCAAAGATGATTAATATGTTAAATACTCAAAAGCCCTTGCTCCAGATGCAAATACTACCAGAAGTTAAGCCACCTTAATGAAGAGAGCTTAATTAGCCTATCATATGTTAGACATGAATTTTTCTTGTTAAAATGAATGTTATTAGATATGTGTACTAGCCATTTCATAGGCAATTAACCCTTAGAAGAACTTGGTATAAGACTCTAGTGAGTCTCATAGCCTATCCCCTTCACAAGGATGCCCGATGTTTGTGATTAAAAACAGATCCTTTGTCTTGGTACTCATTAAGACTGTGAAGCCAGACTCTGATTAGAAAGTTGGCTAAGGGCCAAGGATGTAGCACAGTGGTAGAGTACTTGCCAGCACTCACTAGATGCTTGATTTAGTAATACCAGCACTAAAAAACAAAGTGAAAAAAGTGAGGAAAACTGATTGAATCTTACCAATATAATTCTACCAAATCAGCCCTGACTAATCCTTACACAGAAGATACTATCATGTACCCAAAGACAGAAAGCTGGGGCATCACAGAGACTACAAAACAGGATATATTACTAATTTTGTGTTTGTCTGCTAACAAATATTTGTGAGAATCAAATGTAAAAGTTGGCTTTCAGTGGAATTCTCTTTCATGGTAATGAGATTTTAGGGAAGTCCAAACTATAATTCCTACCTACCCCTGACTAATGGAAGCTACTAGTATTTATGAAAAATAACTTATTAATAAGGAATCGCCAAAGTGGCTCCCTTTGCAACAGAAATCTTCCCTCTGACTCCAAAAAATGAAAACTAATTCAAACCTCTCTACATTCTTCATAGTCATATTTTTCTTTTTCCTCTCAGGTCACTTACCGATTTTTTCATCTTCCTGTACCATTTTCCTCTCTTCTCTGAAAGCCCTGAGCCAACGTATTTTCTCCTCCAGCTTCTTGGCAAAGAACAGGTGTACTTCTTCCGTCTCCTTGTTGTGAAGCTTGAAAGCATTCTTCATGCTTACATTAAAGTCATCATCTCTGCCATCTTCAATATCAATTACCTCGTATTTATCCATGTCAATGCGGCCTTTGTAGTACAGGATATCTCTCCGGATTAGGTCCTAGATGAGAAGGAAGAAAAGGCTTAGTTGGAGGTATGTGCAACGTGAGTGCCAGAAGAACTGATGTATGAGGTGTAGCAGGACATGAATACCACCACTGTTTTGGAGGACCCATAGGGTTAGTTAAGTTTTAAATTAAAAACTTCTGATAGGAAACAGGAAACAGTATGCCACAAAAGTACTGAGAACAGGAGCTTTTCCTCTTCTATAACACTGGCAAACCTACCAGATGCATGAATGACTGGTAGTCTGGAATGCGGTGAGAAACCCAAACAAGCCAGGGTGACCACACTATCAGAGGAGGGATTCAATATAAGAGTAGCTGGGAGGCCACAGGTTACTAGCCAGGGAAAATTACTTGGGCGTAGTTTTAAAACTTAGCACTTGAGATTTTTAGAAAAGGCCTAGGGTGGCAAGAAAAAAATGTGTTAATACTATATTGAATAAGGAAGTATTCAGCACAGATGAATCTCATAAGTATTATGTGAGAAAATCAAAACTGTAGATGGATACAAACAATGTATTGCTTTTGTGTTATTGTTTTGCTCTCATGTACACAGAAATGGACTCATCCAAAATCTAGTCAAGAAGACACTCATCATTAGTAAATGGATAATGCTCTTATTTTTCTATTTATTTACTTATTTGCATTTTTAATAATGTAAGAAAACTGGTAAACCCAACCTAATCCAATACAACTGCTATGACCTCAAAGCTTGTTCCATCCTAAATCTCATATTTATAATTCCCCTAGTTCCCTTCTTGCATTAGTTTTATCTCATTTATATCTATTTCACTTAAATACATATAAAACAATGCCACATAATGTATAAAGATGCATATTATGCACACAAATTATAAAGCAGTATTCGACAATGGTATGTGGTACATTCAAGAGAATACCGTACAGAAAATGGGAAGTGGTGAGTGAGGAAGGAAAGAAAGAGAAGGAAAAGAGGGAGAGAAGAATGCATCTGTGATGAATTAGTTCTAAGTTGGACAGTAAGTACCTGAGTGTACATTTTATTATTTTCATGAATTTCAAATATGGTATTTCATATTTCATAACTTGAAAAAGAAAACAGAGGTACAGCTGGAATGACATATGGGCCTACGGAATGTGAGCTTTAATAAAGCTCCTCGAGTGGCCTTTTAACCCCTCCTTCTCAGAGTACTTGCTCCCATCCTCTAAGAGCATATCTACTGCTAAGACACATGATATAGCTGAAGATAGTCCTTGTGAGCTCTGTCTTAACATATTCTCTCCTCATAACCGGGTTGCTTTCTGGCCAACTCTGTTCTCCTTGCTTGTATCTGGCCTTTCAGTTAGCCTCACAGAGTCAGAAACAACTTATTGGCTTTCATTAACATAGAAGGTGTGACTGCAATATATAGCAAATATTGACATTTTAAAAAATTTATTACAGTAATAGATAAATTGTCATTAAATCCCCCCTCAAAATACTCCCTTTCATTTTGAACACACTTATCCCATTGTTCTTGCCACCTTTTTAAACATTTCTGGAAGTCCTCTTTTTTGTTTTACCATATGTGAACAAAAATATGGTGAGTGCTGCTGCTTATTGCAGCTAATGGATTCAGGCTTGTAAAAACTACAATGTTTTCATCCAGCTTATCTGGTATCATATGACTTCTGGCTTTTCCCCAATGTCAAAATGACCACGAAAGGTCATTTTATGACCTTATTTTTTATGACCTTTGAATTGACACAGGACATCAAGGAAGATACGACAGTGCAACTGGACATTTATGAAAAAGGAATTAAAGAGCTGATTCAGAAAGTAGCAAGAATCATGAAATAAGTGTATGCAAAGCAAGAGTTTGAGGGGGATTACTGGCAATGTGTCTTTTTTACTGTAGTGTTTTTAAAATCTAAACTTTAGGGCCAGGGATTTATCTAAGTGTTTCCATCTTCTGCTTCGCAAGCGCATGGTCTGTAGTTCAATCCCTGCTACAAAAAAAAAAAAAAAAAATCTTAACTTTAACCTTATTTTTTCAATTACACCTGATAATACATTTTGATTAATTATTTTCATTCTTTTGAATTGCCTGACATGCTTTATTCTTCAGCTTTCACAAACCTGTGAAGGATCTATCTGCCTTTGGCCACTCACCTTTCCAATCCTAAATCTTTCTCCTGTTTTTCAGTGTGGCTGAAGAATGCTATCTTAAAGGATTCTCAACATAGCTCTTTTAATCTCAAAGTCCCAGACTGGGAAATACAGGCACTGTTGAATTGCCTTACAAAAAATAATCATCAAGCTGTTCTTTTTTCCTGTCATAATTATTGTGTATATAACGAGGGACTATAGATGGGTCCTGAATCTTGGCTACTCCCAGCACCAAGCTCCCTTTACCATTTTCAAATATCGTGAGTAAAATTAAGTCAAGGCAAATGTAACTTTGAATATTTTGCAATTTATATATTACCCTACTCTGGAAACTCTATCTACTCCTTCAGGATGAGGGTGTTTGGTAAGTGGTATTTGTCACTCATGCACCAAAATCACAAATCTACTTTGCTTTATAATGTATCCTCCTTGCCACAGCCATATATCCTATTTCTATCTTTCTAGCCTCCAAAGTCAAATTCACATTTTCTTTTGCCCCAAAGAAGACTCCTCTGACCGTACTTTCCATCTCAAACTGATATGGCTTCCCTTCTCCAAAGATGGCCTTTATACATTACACACCTGATACCAAACCACTATATTTTTCCAAGCCTTTTCTTTTGTCCACTCATTTAGGCTATGTCCACCATTCTGACTTCCTTGATCTTGCCTCAGTCAAGGATTGTCCCAGAGGTTTTTATGGTCTTCTGCATGGCAAAGGAACAAAGCCTTCCTGGGACCTGGTTGCTTGTGGTCCTATTAGAACTGGGGTGGACACATGGTACTTATTAATATTGGTCTTAGTGCCTTCACAGGGACATGGTGAATATGCACCCTAAGTAGAGGCTATTTGGACCATCACAGCTGCCCTGCCTAGTGAGGTTATTATTTGTAATAAGACTCCAGGCTTTCTTCTCCTTTATACTTATCCACAGAATATTAAGGAAAATGTTGTGCTTCACCAGGAGGGTCTTGGCTGTCTTCAGACACCTAGGCCCTAGTCCTAGCCTGTGTCTTCAGTAAGGATCCTGCCCTCGGCCCTGACATTACATAATTTAAAAAGCTTTAAGCTATTTCAATTTGGCTTTACTAGATAGGATGTAGTAAGACATCACAGGACATTTTATAGAAATGATGGCTGCTGCAATCTAGAAAATACAACTGTTCAAGACTGTAGTCTTCTTCTCTTTTTTTGTCGTTAAGTTCTTCTCTGTCACTTTAGAAGGCGATCTGGAACACTTCAATTTTTCCTCTAGGGGAAAGCATCTGGGGCCAGGGCTACATTTATCTTGGTCACTGCTGTATTACAATATCTACAATATATATTTAATACTTAAAACAAATAATAAGAACAATAATAAGAATAGTAAACACTTAAATAGTATATATTAGCCAGGTCCTATCCTAAGTGTTTTGCATTTATTAATTAAATAATGCTCACAACAATCCTACAAAGTTGGTACTGTTATAATTCCATTTGATGAGGAACTATAGACATAGAGCAGTTAAGAAACTTAACCAAGAATAAAAGCTACTAAGTGGAAGAGACTCTGTGGTATATGGCTCTAAAATCTGTGCTTTTATTTAACCAATGTGCTATTCTGCTTTCTAATACAAATTTGCTGAAATAATGATCAGTATCATTGTGCATAGTGAGTATAACAGTATAAATAGCTATAACACTTTCAAAGTATTTTACTATGTGAAATGCATTATACCTGTACTGTCTCATTTAAGGCTCAGAATTTCCTTCCTTGTAGATATTATTTGTCCTATTTTGCAAGTGAGGGGATAATTATTGGCATAGGGAGTTTGCCCAGTATCAGATAGCCCATGGGAGAAGGAGAAATAATGCTGTCTTGTCTGGTCTTGTTACCCATGTTCTTAATATTATACTCCATTACTCTGTTCTATCTCAAGTAGTTCTTTTTCAGAGCTTTCTGAGATGAATATGCCATCAGCCTGATTTGACAGTGAGAAGAATACAAAGTTAAAAAAACTGGCCTAACTTTAGATAAATTAGTAATAGATAAGTCTAGTACTTAAGTATTTTGATTTTTGAATTTTTACCTTCTTTCTGCTCTATTCTAATTTCTTGTTGTGTATTTGGGAATTGCCCCAAATGGTTTATCATCCAAGTCTGCCCCTTTGGTGCAACAAGAAATGGTATAAATGCAAAAATGTCCCTAAGCATGTTCTGTCCAACATTATAACATGATGTTTAGTTATAAGTCCTCAGAATATGGTAAAAGCAACAGAAATTTAGAGCAGTTGTGACACAGGGGAAAAGGGAGCATGTCCAGACTGGCGCAACTGAGGGCAGAGGAGGCAGAAAAATGTCACTTTGAGGCAAATACAGTACTGCAGAGACATAATGGGTGGTGAGGAAAGGGGGAAATACACTCACAGTAAATTGTGTAAAAGAAAAAAAGATATATTAGGAAGAAAATGGTAAAATGTACAAAACAAAATAACAAGGCAATGAGACAGCCAGCACAGAGGATAAGGAGAACAAAAAGGTTATCTGGATTTTTTTCAAAAGAAAAGTGATAAGGAAAGAAAATGCACAGTCGAAATTAAAGAAGGGCTGGGGCCCGGGATTTAACTCAGTGGTGCCACTGCCTACCTCAAAAGTGCAAGGGCCCAAGCTCGATCCCCGGTACCAAAACAAACAAACAAAACCAGACATTAAAGAAGGGGGTCACATAATTATAAGCCACTGATGTTTTCCCATATACTATAATAACCATTTTAAAAGTACATTCTCTCTCTCTCTCTCTCTCTCTCTCTCTCTCTCTCTCTCTCTCTCTTTCTCTCTCTCTCTCTCTCTCTCTCTCTCTCTCTCTCTCTCTCTCTCTCACACACACACACACACACACACACACACACACAATACAGTCACACGGAAATAAGCTACAAACTTCACAAGCTGTTGAAACTGTTATGACAGGCTTATTCAGTTTCAACTCCCAATATACAAAATGGGCAATTTTTGCATACCTGACTAGGAAGTGAGAGACTCAACAGTTCGATGGGGATTTAGGGTTGTACCACATGATCTTGGACAGAGAACAGATAGACTATTTCAGTGTCTCCTATGCCATCTCTGGCAGGTAATCTTCTAGTTTATATTTGGGTACAACTAGTGATGGGAGCTTTAGAAACTTATAAGAATATTTCTTGGTTGAGGCAGGGGAAGATTAAGAAAAATGAACAACTACTACATGCCAGGCACTCTAACAGGCATTTTATGTGTATTGATTTCTGTGGGGACATTAGCCAAACGTATGAAGAGATAAGGGTCTTTTAGGTACATAAGCCCCAAACCTCCTAGAATATATGGTTAAAGATTAAAAGATAGCCCACAAGGGCACAAGTCCAAGTAGGAGCAAAACACATTGCCTTGGCCGGGCGTGGTGGTGCATGCCTGTAATCCCAGCACTTGGGAGGCTGAGGCAGGAGGATCGGTGTGAGTTCGAGACCAGCCTGGGCTACGTAGTGAGTTCCAGGACAGTCTCAACTATACAGTGAGACCCTGTCTCAAAAAACAAAACCAAAAACAAAACACATTACCTTAAGGAATGAATGCCCTGGCCCTCATTTTCCCCATACTCTGATTTATTATTTAGATTTGTCCTAAGGTCAGTCACATAACAGACCACCCTTACCTTACCCTGTTTTCCCCTGTCCCCTACATGAATTCCTGCATAGATATCTTTCTTTTTTTCCTTTATCCTCACTTCTTTGTTCTATCAATAAAAAGCCACAGAAGATTCTGTTCAGGGCTGTCTTTGTGAGACCCTCATAAAGGGTCTCACTGAAGGGTTATGGTTAAGGGCAGTCCCTCTGGGCCTTCTTGGAATTTGAATTGGACATGGACTCCACGTATTCTCTCATCCTTTGCACCATGCCAATGTTGTGAACTGTGACAAATTCCATTTATTCTTTGTAACCCACCTGTAGGATATCCTCTCTTTTATGAATGATATAATGAAAGCATAGGAAATGAAGAACTTGCTTGAAAGAACACAGTGAGTACTGGAATCAGGATCTGCACCAGAATTCTCTGACTGCAAAGTTAATACTTTATGTATTACTTCACATTTCTTCTCTCTACAAGGAAATCTGGAAGAATCTGAAATGCCAGAATGAAATCCAGATATTCTCTGTCCACTTCAGTCTTTCCATCAGCTAATCTAATTATTAGCAAAAGCAAGAAATGATGCTTTGTGGGATATAACTTGCTTTTAGGAAACCAACGCTGAGCCATCATGGTCACTACATCTCTTTCCAAATGTTTATAAACTGTTTAATAATTGATTACATAATTTTCATAAGCTCAACGACAGTAATGACAGAGCAGTTTCTAGTGTGCAATCTAGAGAGCCAGTATGACTGGATTCAGTTCCTGGCTTTATCACTTATTCCCTGGGAAAATTCAATAACTCCTTTTATTTCACTTTACATATCTTTAAAATGGGAAAAACCAGTGCCTATCTCATACATTTGGTATAAGGATTAAATTAAGTTAGTGAATGTAAAGGTCTTAGGACAGATTCATAGATGCACTTAATAAATACTGGTTTATAATTTTATAGTCAGACTATATTTTCCAGAATATATTATTTTATGTTTTGAGAACTAGTACATTTTCCTATCTATAGTGTTCTCATAGATCTCAGAGGGCCCATAATTCTGCAAAATTTACCCACAGCAATTCCATTGAAAACATGTGAGTTAGCCGGGCATGGTGGCACATGCCTGTAATCCCAGCACTTGGGAGGCTGAGGTAGGAGGACTGCTGTGAGTTCGAGACCAGCCTGGGCTACATAGTGAGTTCCAGGTCAGTCTCAACTACATAGTGAGACCCTGTCTCAAAACAATACAAAGCAAAACAAAACAAAACAAAACAAAACAAAAAAATGAACAAAAGAAAACATATGAGTTATTTAAATGCCCAGACATGCTTATCTTAAAATTACATCATACTTAAATTTTATTAGACAACAAGCCTCATAAAGGTAGATCTGGCTGGTACAGGGTAAGGTCTCAAATTCAGGGTACTGATGTACTTTATTATAACCTCAGATCCTTTGTGCTTCAGTTCTTTTTTTTAGTCAGACTTTTCCTCTCTTGCCTTGACAGCTAAGGAACAGGGTAGGAACTCAAAAATAATTCAGAGTACTGATGTGCTTTATTATAACCTCAGATCTTTTGTGCTTCAGTTCTCTTTTAGTCAGACTTATCCTCTCTTTGCCTTGACAGCTAAGGAATTGGTATTCCTCTCTTAACACTAAGCCATCTGCTCAGGCAGGGGACTGTCAGACTATCACTTTTTTTTTTTTATTTGAATAGATCCTTGAAATTGTCTTGAACATTTTGAAAACTAATTTTGATTCATTCTAGGGTTCATGTGCTATTTTTGCCAGTTCTGTTACATATAATACATGTAAAATATTATTTATGTAACCACTTGCAAGGAGCCTTTATTTCATTTTTTAGAAACATAAACTCAGTTGGAAAACTTAAAGTAGTCACATTCAATTGTTTAGCTTGCCCCCTGTCCTTTCTTCCTTGTAAAAGACTTACTGAGTTTTTGAGAATCCATCTAAATGGAGTCCCTGATGTGAGTGAAGTGAAGCCTTAAGGACTCACTCTAGTCTTGGCCCTTCTTTTCCTTTGTCAAAGGAATCTTTATCTCTGGGAATCCTTATCCATTTCTCTCAACTGTATTTTAAGGAGACAGTTTTTTATAGTAATGGCAAGAGGTCTCTAAATAATTTGATAAATGAAATATTTTGTCTCTTTACACATTTTTTACTCCCATTTGATAAGTAGAAAGGCCTGTTACAGACAGCAAATGAAAATCCTCAATTGTAGCTTCAACACAATCATCATTAATGACCTTTGCAAAAATAAACTGTAGCTATTCATGCTCTGGGTAGCCAGTAAATGAAGCCCCAGGTAGGTGGAGTTAGTAGCTTTTAAATCTTAGACTCTAGCCTGACTTTGCTCTGAGGAAATAAAGCTATAGTTCTTACTAGATGAAAGCTCTCATGTGAATGAAGCTATGAATGCTACAATATTTCTTTTGTTTTTGTCATTTCTGTTGCATATTTATCTATTCAAACAGCTTGGCTGGCCTGAACCTACGAGATTTCGCTTGACTTTTGATTTCTCCCTAATCATTGGTTCCCATTACCTGGTTTAGTGCTGACTTGTAACATGTCTTTTCTTGTCTTCTATTGTCCCTTGGCCCCTAAACTGTACCTACTTTGTTTCAGTCCATTTATTCCTAGGTGGCACCTCAGTGTTTTGCATCCTGGCTCCTGGACCTATATATTATAGCCACTGATTCCCAAAACTCAGTTTTACAGTTTATTTAGAATAACTGCAGCCTTTGCTGATGCTCAAATTAACAGTGTTGGGAAGGGACTCACTGTCTCTGTCACTACTTATTGTGAGCATTAACATACCTTAATGAGAAAGATAGGGCACATGCCTGTTGGTGACATGGCTAATGTGCTAAAAGTTCCCTAAATTAACCTTCAAAAGTTCTACCTTTTGATTGTATGGAAGATCTGGGAAGGGCTTGAGGAGCTGAAAAGGTATATTGTTTTGCTAAGATTTACAAAAGTTCTTTACTTCCAGAGTCAGCTTCAGACTAAGGTAGTTATTATCCTTATTAACCAGCTAGCTATTGGTTCTAGAGCTGGCATTCAGAGTTTATTGCCAAACACTGGGAAAATATGAATCTAAGCTCTCAATCTGTTCCTTCAATCCACTGTCAAAGTAAAATGGATAACCATTTTGCATGATATGGTACACATATACACATGCAGGTGCATGCATACACACACAGACACACACACACACACGCACACATACAACAGGTGGCTCAGAGCAAATGCATGGTCCATGTTCCAATCCAGAAAAAATAAGTGTTTAACAGGGTGTGTCATGACTTGGCATCACTCTTCAGATGCATTCACTAATGGAAGAGGGAGAGGACAAAGGGACTGAATTATGAAAGGGTAATACAACAAATTTAGAAAGTCACCCTAAATATTCTTTGGTTTCTCTTTCATCTTTTACTTTCCCTGGTTCCAAATGCTTTGCAGTCAGTTCCTGGAGACAAAACTGGTCTAAACGTCTCCTGAGAAGAGGATGGGGGAACAATATCTCATCATGATCCCTCAAGGAGGATCATGCTAGACATATATGCTACCCCTCTTCACAAGGAGTAAATTCTAAGAAGCCAACATTCACAGATAATCCAGGAGTTAGTGCAAAGTACAAAATCTCTCTTCAAATGCATTATTGGAAATAGTAGGGAAGAAAATAGTTGGGAATTGCAGCGAACTGGTGTATCTTGTGTATGAAGTAGGTTGAGGCACAGGGAAAATCCTGCATCAGAAAGATACCTACCTGTCCTGTAGTTCCTTGTCAGTTCCTAGGGCAGATAGAAGTGAGGCAGCCAGAGAAATCAAAATGGAAATGAGAAAAGGCATGCAAGAAACTGTCTACCAAATGATACAGAAATACAACAATATTTTTAACAACTTGTAAAAACTAGCTGGCTATCATTTCTAGGTGAAGTCAGTGAGAAAGAGGAGCAAGAGAATCATGATAAGAAAGGTACAACAAGATACCAAGACAACATGTGCCAACTTCAGTTTCATTGTTCATCGCCTGTGATATTCACGCCACACCAGTGTAAAATTGCTGCCAATCTTCTGCCTGTTTTAGCCCCAGCAGATTTATTTACTTCACTGAGAGTCTAGGGATGATGAAGAGGAAGAAGCCGGTGCCGCATGAGGTGCCTATCTCCCTCAGGGAAGAAGAGGGCAGGGTTACCTTCTTGCAGAGAACCATCTGGTGGTCAAACAGGAAGAAGACCCGCTGCTGGTTGCGGCCGTAGGGCTGGTAGATCCAGGCCATCTCCCCAGTGTAGATCAGTTCCGAGCTCCTGTCTAGGATATCCTCACCCTGTGAAGGACATGTGATGGTGAGAGGTAGCCAGGCAAGAGAGATGGTCCAAAGCTGAGCATACACTAGGGTAGAAGGTGTCCAGAAAGGGCCTGGTAGAGAAAGAGGGAGGCAGTAACTCCCAGGAATCCTTAAAAGGCTTTACAACTCTATAATTTGGGAAAACCCATTCACTCTAAGGTCAAATAAGCCCACCACCCAGGACTCTCCCAGACTCCGGACTGTCATATCTTCAAGTAAAAGTCTCTTTACCTTTCAGATGAGTAGAAAGGAACAGGGTAGGGCAAGAAAACGGATGATGAAGGAAAGAGGACCCACTCACTCTCTTGTAATTTCCCCCCCCACAGTTCATTAAAATTTATTGATTGAATGAGACACTTCCCTATCACATGCTTCCTTAGTCTCTTACCTAGAAATCTTTTAACCACTTCTCTTCTCTTCTTTGTGACATAGGGTCAGATTTTTTTTTTTTTT